ACCGTGTTGCCCAGATTAAAAGTGGGTCTTCCCACCTCCTTTATTAATATGTTTTCCTGAGTTTTAGTTCAAGGTTTTTCTGAAATGTCTACAATATTACCATTGAGTAAATGATTAAACAAAATTCATTTCACATCATGGAGCTTATAGGATGGAATTTCTACAACACTGCAGGACATAAGGAGAGCATGATGGCAGTCAGTATTTGTCCACAGGCAGTAGTGTACTGAGGGTCATTGCTCTTTTACTGAATCATGGATGCTAAGCATGAGTTCAGAGCCATGCACAGACACAGCCCAATTTGGACAATGTCTGTCACTGACAGTTTTGTAATTGTATTTTCATTTCTCCCCCAATAGACCTCTTACTCTCTCTTGCAAGAGAGAGTAGCTTCCACTCTTTGGCTTTCCTAAGCCTCTACATTCTGTTTATGTTGAGCCCTTTTACTGTGGCAGTAACCCTCAAGAAGTAAGCACATACAATTTTCCCTATTTTGGTTGATTAAAGGCTTTCTCCTTAATATTGATTTTCTGTTGAACATGATAGGAGAAAAGTTAACAGGTTCAGAACCTGTATGAGAGACTTTCCTGGATTGGAACTGACCACAAAGTATGCATGCCACCTATGTCCATTTTGTTGTCCCAAATGGGTCTTTATTGGGGCTCATTAAACCAGCAAAATGGACTTAAAGACAGTTGCCATCAGGAAACTCCAACCCAACATGGAAAACAACTTATAGGCACTGGACAACAGAAGCATACTGTACAAATTCAGGCAAATCTACTGAATAAAAGGTATCCTATTTTGATTGTTCAGGTTATCAAAGCTTCTACTGAATAGCATGTGATCTGAGTTTCTTCATGGGAGTTAAGTAGAGTGAATCCTGTCAGTTTCATGAACTTTATGAAGCCATTTGGGAATTATATTTCCTGCCCTTATCAGCTTCTCTTCTGGAGAGACTCTTTCAGTTTCCCCAAAACTGCTACACAAACAGAACCTTCTCCAGGCTTTTCCATATTGTCTTCATTATCAAGTATTTGAGGTTGGAAAAGTAGAATGTTTTAATAAAGTATTTTGTACATTGTCACATATTAAATTTTTTTTCTCAGTGTAAACTCTTGATATTTTCTAAGATTTGAACCTTACAGGATTTCAGAAATTTCGAAGGTTGATAATGACTTTCTAGTGTGGAGAATGAAGCAGTTTTTAAGGGTAGAACTTGGATAAAGCATATGCTTCATTCATTACCAACAGAAACTTTCCTTCAGTACTATGAAGTTTCTGATGTTTTCTTGGACCTGAGAGGTGGGTAAAGACTTTGACACATTTACTCCATTTGTAATTTTCCTCTCCTGTATGAATTCTATGGGGTATTCTAAGTTGGACTTTCTGAATATAGCATTTGTCCCCTTCACTGCATTTGTAAGGTTTCCCTCCAGTATGAATTTTCTGATGTCTTCTAAGATCTGAGCCACTGGTAAAAGATTTGTTACATTCACTACATTTGTAAGGTTTTTCTCCTGTATTAATTCTCTGATGTTTTCTAAGACCTGAGCAACATGTAAGGGATTTCACATATTTACTGAATTTTAAGATTTCTCTCCTGTGTGAATTCTCTCATGTACTGTAAGTTGGGCTTTCTGAATGAAGTGTTTTTCACATTGACTACATTTGTAAGGTTTTTCCCCCTGTATGAATTCTCTAATGGGTTCTTAAGTATGTCAGTCAGGAAAAGTTTTTGTTACATTCATTACATTTGTACTTTTCTCCCCCGTATGAATTGTCTGACAGCTTTTAGGTGTGCAAGTTGGCTAAAACATTTGTGACATTCACTGCATTTATAAGGTCTCTGTCCAATATGGGTTTTGTAATGGTATTTAACCTGATACAACTGATAAAAGCACTTGCCACAAGCCTTACATTTGTGGGGTTTCTCTCAGAATGATTTCTCTGGTGTATACTTAGGCACAAATGCATTCTTTGATTTTGACTGATGATGGGAAACAAATTTAAACAATATACACAGTCTTTAAACTTGCAAGGTTCTTCTCTAGAGTTCCCTCTTTTATGTCTGTTTATAGTTGAAGACCCAACAGAAGCATCCTTGTATTTACCATATCTGTGCTTACTGTAGTTTTGTGCAGTATACTGTGTGTCATACAGTGTACATTGAGAGGATTCATGAACCATAGGATTTCTCCTGGATATTCACAGGCTGATGGACTACATGCTTTGTACCTTGATAGAGGATTTTTTTCATATTTCCACTTATGCGATGATTCTCTGGAAAGTTAGCACAATTATGGATAATAGGGATTGACACATGAGTAACAGATTCAACAACTGATGTTTCCTTAAGTTCTCTAAAGCATGGAACAATAACAATTCTTAGGAATACCAATCTCAGCAGAGGCCTTCTGTGTTTCACTATCATTAAATGGAAGACCAGAAAAAAACACCCACTGTGAGCTCCATCATACCAAAAGCAACAATAACAGTCTGCTCGTTCTTATCTGAACTATTCACCTTTCAGAGGATGAACTAATGGGTGTTAGAGCAATGATAAACTTTGAGACAGTGGCTCTCTGAAGTGTCATAAGAAGGATGTTTCTCCATTTTCTTGTTGTTTATATTTTTGAGATAAGGGTCCATTACGCAGCTTTTCTTGGCTAGGAACACACTACTTAAATCAGGCTCTCCAGAAACTCACCAGATCCTCTTGCTTCACCATTCCTAGTGCTAGGATTAAAAATCATGCTGTGAGACCGAATGTCAAAAAACAAAGAAAACAAGAACAGCAGCATGCTTACCACCAACAGCTCTTTAATTTAAAACCTCTCAATTTTTAAAAGTCAGGAAGAGATAGTTTAATTCAATATGAAAATCAAAATACTCCAATTAATTAAGCGTACTGCAAGGCATTTCCATGCTCTGAATATTAATTTTCTTTGAACTTTGAAGTTTTCCTTAAAAATCTACATAATAGAGCTGGAGAGACTGAACAGAATATAGCATTGGTTACTGTCATAGAGAACAAAGACAAAGGTAAAGGAAGCACGTGAAAAAGTGTTCATTGTCAGAATTTCCCTTATTTCTGGTGGTCTCTAGACATTTCAGATAATTTATCTACATACAAAGTAGGTAAATACAAAGGACAAGTCAGGGATTCTACAAGAAAAACATTCTTACCTACAAAGAACATTCTTACCTAGATTGCTGTAATTCTCCAACATCACATCCAAATACAAAGCCCTCTGAGGAGAGTCCAGGCATTCCCATTCCTCCTGAGAGAAATCCACAGACACATCCCTGAAAGTCAACAGACCCCATCATGGAAAATAACCCATTTACCAGGTGCTGCTGGGGGAAAAATGTTTTCTTAGGTAAAAGAAAACTACCTAATGAGTTAGAGACATTTTTCTGATATAGACTAGGACAATTACAAATGACAAAACTTTTCTAGAGGTGGTAGAGAGGTGGTTCAGAAAGAAAGAGCACTAGATATTCTTCCATAAGACTAACACTTGGTTCTCAGCACCCATATTGTGCAAAGCAGAGTTTCTACCTCAAGTTCTATCAGATATAATACTTTCTTCTGAATTCTGAAGGCAGAGCATCATGAATACTTTTAAGCAAATATGCTAACACACACATAAAATAAAAATGAAAGTTAATTTTAATAAGGGCTACTTTGAGCTGGGCATGGTGGCACATGCCTTTAATCTCGGCATATATTAGAAAAAGGCAGGCACACCTCTGTGAGTTCAAGGCCAGCACGGTCTACAGAGAAAGTTCTAGGGCAGCCATGGTTACACACACACACACACACACACACACACACACACACACACACTTTCTCAAAAAATGAAAAAAATAGGGACTGGAAAGATGGTCCAGCAGTTAAGACTATTCTTACAGAGGTCCTGATTTCAAACTACAGCAACTACATTGTGGCTTACAACCATAACGGGAAATGATGCCCTCTTCTGTTGTGTCAAAGGAGAGTATGAGTCTACTCACATACATAAAATAAATAAATCATTTTAGAATATTAAATAAGCCAAAAGGACACTCTCCCCAACAGTCATGCTCTATCTTCTATTTCTATCTCAGTGAAAATAGCATGATTGTGATGATGGTCTTACAATAAGCAAGCTTGTAGGGGATATAAAATACACATTTGAAGTCTGCATGTAGACATGTAATTCTATAAAGGCTGCATATGTATCAAAGAGGATCACAGTGTCTCCTCTCAGATGGAGAAATTATAATGAGAAAAAATGTACTTCCAAATTCTCCAACTGTCGATCCTGTTGAAGTACGAACTCTTCATCAATCCTGTCTGCATTTGGGTCCCAATTGACTGTATTCTAAAATGCTTAGTTCAGATGCTAAGCCCTAAGTGCAGTGCCACACCCTTTCTAAAAAAAAAAAAAAAAAGAATATGGAATGCAGAATACATGTATGAGTGAAAATTCATGGACAAGTGCAATTTGGTATCCTGGGGTTTTGGGGTTGCTAACGGGTCCTGAGTCCACTGTGCTCCCCATGGATGTGGGCCTTTGAGAGGTTTCCTTATCAGTTACCCTGTGTTCATTAGAACTCATGGGATGCCTTCAGGCTGTGATATCTTCAGGGGAACAGATCTGCAAGGTAGAACACAACTGCTGGAAGAGCTCTACAACATTTTCATATAATTCAAAGTACTTGTCATAAAGGCAGAGTCACAAGGAGACAAAATAATGGTATCTCAGTCCTAAGACCACTGATAATGTGTTTTCTTATGGTTTTAAGTAACCCCTGTGAGAGGTTCATTCCACCCTCAAAGATGTTGCTACCCATGGATTGAAAAACATTGTTCTAATATTCATTTTATGTTACAGTTTGCAGAAAATATTAATGGGTTTGGTCCTTTTTTTTTTTTTTTTTGGTGGGAGACGCAACATATATATATCCATCTACCCATCCCAAGTGGAAATTGAAAACAATCAAGCCCAACATTTTGAACCAATGATCTTTATTGGAGTTTCATACAGGCCTCAGGGGAAGGAGTTAGGAAATGAGAGCCCGAGGGACTCAGTGACAATTGCTATCCTGAAATAAAAACATTGTAAGATACAGATTATGAATACTGGACTCTGGCAAGAAACTGCATATCCATAGGCATATCTACAGTATAAAGAGCATCCTATATTTGTGACTCAGGTTGCAAATCCACTTTTAAGAAGTATAATTTTCTAAGTATCTTAATTTGAGTTAAGCATACAAATGCTGTCTGTTTTACTCTAGTTTGAGATATGTATTTCCCAGCTGCTTTCTGAAGTAGATCATTTTAGACTTTAGGAAACTTTACACAATTCCATATATTTCTACCTTCTCCAACACATCTTCATTATGACAAGTTTGAAAGTGAACAAGTAAAAACTTTTAATGAAATATTTCCTTGTCACATTTTCAGTTTCTCTCAGCATAAACCTTGGGTACTTTTGAAGATTTGAGTATTAATTAAACACTTACACATGTTTCTAATACACACAATAAACAATTCTTTAGTGTGGAGCCTCAAGTGTTGCAAACAATACAGCTGCTTTTTTTTTTTTTTTTTTTTTGGTTTTTCGAGACAGGGTTTCTAATTATAGTCCTGGCTGTCCTGGAACTCACTCTGTAGACCAGGCTGGCCTCGAACCCAGAAATCTGCCTGCCTCTGCCTCCCAAGTGCTGGGATTAAAGACATGCACCACCACTGCCCGGCACAATACAGCTTGAATAAAGTACATGCCAGATTTTTTTCCAGTGGACACTTTTCTGACTAAAAATTTCCAGGTATTTTCTTAGTTCTGAGATTTGGGAAAATGAAAGTCTCATACATTACATGTCGGAGGTTTTTCTCCTGTAAGCATTCTTTAATGAACCAACAGTAAAAGATTTGTACATTTACTACATTTATAAGGACTCTCTTGTATATATTCTCTGATAAACTCTAAGATGATCTCCCTTGGGCATGATTTTTCTCATTCACTTCATTTGTTAAGTTTCTCTACCGTACACATTCTCTGATGAGTGCTAAGACTGTTTCTCGCTAAAGAATTCATTACATTCACTATATTTTTAAGGTTTTTCTCCTGCATGAATTCTCTGATGAATTCTAAGACTGCTTTTGCAGGTAAAGTATTTGTCAAATTCACTACATAAGAAAGGTTTCTCTGCTGTATGAATTCTCTGATGAATAAGAGGACTGAATTTTCGGGGAAATCATGTCACATTCATATTTGAAACATTTTTCTACTGTATAAATTCTCTCTTGTTTTCTAAGATTGCTTCTGTGGGAAAAGCATTTGTCACATTCACTAATTTGAAAGGCTTCTCTCCTGTATGAACCCTCTGATGAACATTAAGACTGCTTTTGCAGGTAAAGCATTTCTCACATTCACTACATTGGTAAGGTTTCTCTCCTGTATGAATTCTCTGATGAATAGTAAGACTGCTTTTTTGGGCAAAGTATTTGCCACATTCACTACATTTGTACGGTTTCTCTCCTGTATGAGTTCGCTGATGAATTCTAAGATTGCCTTTCAGAGCAAAACATTTGTCACATTCACTACATTTGTAAGGTTTCTCTCCTGTATGAATCCTCTGATGAATAATAAGACCGCCTTTTTGCACAAAGTATTTGCCACATTCATTACATTTGTAAGGTTTCTCTCCTGAATGTACTCTATGATGCATTCTAAGAAGATATTTCTTGGTAAAGCACTTGTCACATTCACTACATCTGTGAACTTTTTCTCGTGTATGTATTCTCTGATGAATACTAAGATAGCCCTTGTGGGTGAAGCATTTGTCACATTCACTACACGTGTAACCTTTTTCTCGTGTATGAATTATCTGATGAATCATAAGATTGAATTTTTGGGTAAAGCCTTTGTCACATTCACTACATTTGTAAGGTTTTTCTCCCGTATGAATGCTCTGATGTCTTCTAAGATAAGCTTTGTGAGTAAAGCATTTGTCACATTCACTACATTTGTATGGTTTCTCTCCTGTGTGGATAATCTGATGACTTCTAAGGCCACTTTTGTCTCGAAAGCATTTGTCACATTCACTGCATTTGTAAGGTTTTTTTCCAGTATGAATTTTCAAATGTTTGCTAAGACCACCAATTTGGGAGGAACATTTGTCATATTCATTACATGTGTAACCTTTATCTCCTGTATGAACTATCTGATGAATAGTAAGACTGAATTTTTGGGTAAAGCCTTTGTCACATTCACTACATTTGTAAGGTTTTTCTCCTGTATGAATTCGCTGATGACTTTTAAGACTGGCTTTGTAGGAAAAGCATTTGTCACATTCACTACATTTGTATGGTTTCTCTCCTGTGTGGATTATCTGATGACTTCTAAGGCCACTTTTGTCACGAAAGCATTTGTTACATTCACTGCATTTGTAAGGTTTTTTTCCAGTATGAATTTTCCGATGTTTGCTAAGACCACCAATTTGGGAGAAGCATTTGTCACCTTCACTACATTTGCAAGTTTTCTCTCCTGTATGAAGTCTCTGATGTCTTCTAAGACTGCCTTTGTGGGGAAAGCATTTGTCACATGCACTACATTTGTAAGGTTTCTCTCCTGTATGCATTCGCTGATGAATTCTAAGATAGCCTTTGTCGGTGAAGCATTTGTCACATTCACCACATTTATAAGGTTTCTCTCCTGTATGAATTCGCTGATGAACTCTAAGATAGCCTTTGTCGGTGAAGCATTTGTTACATTCACTACATTTATAAGGTTTCTTTCCAATATGAATTCGTTGATGAACTCTAAGATTGCGTTTCATGGCAAAACATTTTTCACATTCACTACATTTGTATGGTTTCTTCCTATTATTCGTTTGTTCCAGTGTGAGTTTTTCTTTAGAGTCAAAATCTTTATCAAGCTCTGTACCATTGTATTCTTTCTTTCCTCTGTGGATTCCCTGAGGTAAACTGATGGTAGAGCAGGAATTTAAACAGTTTGCTGGCTTTTTATAGTTGCAAGGTTCTCTGTTGTTTCCAGTTTGAAGCCTGCTTGGGTTTGATGATTCAACAGGTGTATCCCTGAGGTTGGGTTTATAAGGTGTACTTTGGGTGGATTCATGAATGATTTTAACAAGCTCATGATATTTATAAGACTTCACGTGGATATTCACATGCTCGTGGACAATATGCTGTAGGTCTTGATCTAAGATGTTCTCATATTTATGGCACATGCCATGATCCTCTGGGAAAAAAAATGAAATTAGAGATGACAGAGATTAGTAGACGAGTAAGACAATATCCCACCACATTCCCTGAAATTTTCTAATGTAAATTAGTGATCTCAAAGATAGAGCTCTCAAAAATAGTCTTTCCTGTTTCACAGTCATAACATGGATGCTTAGAACAACCTCAAATCTCATCTATATGAATTGACATGAAACTATAGCCTTCTATATCTTATTTATAGACTGTGCTTTGCAGAAGGTAAAAAGAATAGTAAATGGAAAATAGTAAATAGTAAATGGAACAGTAAAGGACTTTGAGAAAGCAGCTCTCTGAAGGATCAAGTCAAAAAAAAGTTTCCCTATTTTCTTTTTTTATGTTTTGTGACAGAGCAATACAGTTTAGCTTTGGTCAGCTAGGAATTCATTATGTAATCTACACTGGCATGGAACTCTTGATATAGAAGCCATGCTGTACCAAAATCAAACATGGAAACCAAATATCAGAAACTAAATAAATGAGGAACAATAAAATTTTCACAACCAACAGCTCTTTTTCTATTTAGAAACTTCTGCACTTTTAAAATTCATAAACAACTGAAGATTGAAATGCAACATTAAAATTAAAACACTCCCATTATTACAGGAGTAGCATATATTCTCTTGCTTCGAATATTCAGATTTTTTTGAACATTGAACTTTTGATTAAAAGCAGTTACATGTTTTGAGAGATTACACAGAACACAATACTGGATCCTCTTCTGCAGAATGGAGAGAAATGTAAAGGAAACACAATGAAGAACTTATGTTGGTATCCAGAATTTCCCTTATTCTGGGAGTCTCTAGAAATGTCAGAGAGTTTATTTACACACAGTAGGTAAAATCAAAGAATGAATCAGGAATTTTACAATATGGCTAGTCTTACCCACAAAAAGCAGATTGTTGTAATTCTCCAACATCACATCCATGTACAATGCCCTCTGAGCACGGTCAAGACTTTCCCATTCCTCCTGTGAGAAGTCCACAGCCACATCCTTGAATGTTAACTGACCCTGTAATAGAAAATTACCTGTTTATCATGTGCTGCTGGACAAAAGAATTTTCCTAGATGAAACAGACCTAAAGAATAAGGGTCACGTGTGATGAATATGAGTCATGGGAAATATTCAAGGACAAACAGCATCTTCTAGAAGTGCTATAGAAACGTCTCAAAGGTTAAGCATTGTTGCTCTTATGAGATAAAGCAGAGAATGACATGCTATATTGAGTACATTCCTAAGGTCTCTCTGTTACATGAATTTTCAACAGATGAACATGGCACCATCTCTGCATTTGAAACTTGTGTGCAGGTTGGGTTCTATGATCCTAAATTGTTTCCCAGGACCCACATGAACTACACAGCAGATGTTTACTTCCAATCCTTTAAAATCTAATGCTCTCTTCTGAACATAAAGGCTGGAGGAATATACAGCACATATGCATACTTTCAGGCAAATGAACATAAAAGAAAACTGAATTTTAAAGGATGTTACCTACCGTAGTCTTAGTCTTTATTTTATTTTTCCTCTGAAACAGGATTACATAATGGAATCATAAACAGCAAACTTTTAGGGAATATAACATACACATGTGAGGTCTACATGTAGGAATGTACCATTATGAATTATAGGGTTGTTATCAACCAGAATCCCAGTGACATATCACAGATGGTCAAGTTACAATGAGTAAAACTGTGCTTCTAAATTCTACAGCAGTCAGTCTTGCTCAACCATGGACATTATATTAATCCTGTCTGCAGCTGGGTCCCACGTGACTCTATTCTAAAATGCTTAATCAACATCCTAAGGCCTAGGTACAATGCTGTACCCTTACTAGAACAAAGAGGTAGAAAGTGAAACGCAGAACTGTTGGATGAATTAAGAACCACACTTTTTTCTTTAAACAAAAAAAGTGTAATGTCAGTGAACACATTCAATATTCCAAAGGACACACAGAATGAAGTACTTTATAAAGATGTTCTATGACTATATTAACAACATTAAAATATATAAAAGAAAAACAGTATTACAGAACATTAAAATTATTTACAGTTTTCTGAATTATGACATGCGATACAGATATTATCAATTTCATAAATTCCATATGGTCTTTTACTACAGAATAATTAGACATGTATGTATAAATAAATGGTATATGTGACAATGCACTCAGATGAAGTAGAATAATTTTCTTTGACCAAATTTTGCTTTTAAATTAACAGAATTATACTAACTCTTTTAAATATATTATTGCTAGTGAGATTGACTTAAGTGAAAATTTGAATCTTTTAATTTTAATTTTATTTTATTTTCTACTCTTTTTTTCTTTTATCTTGTCTTCTTTCTACATACATTGCAGTTAATTACCATGCCTGACTTCAGTCCCAAGAGCTTGATGTTGAACTCAGAGATTCACGGTCATAATGTGTCACTCAATACACATTAAAAACATGCAGTTAAACACTTAAAAACTCAAACATGTGAAAAGAACACTATTGTAAATAAACACAACAACCCTTCAGAGTTTTTCGCCTATGTAATACATAGCTTGGAAGAGAGAAAAAAAACATACGACAGATGGAACATTCTTTCCATTAAAGAGGAGAAGAGAAGAATTAAGAGGGACAATCAGTAATGGTTGAAATTTCATGGCTTATACAAAGTACCAAGGCAATACTCTCCAGAAAAATCTTAGTAATACATTCCATGTGCTGCAATAAAAAGGTACACATAGTAGTGTTTACACTACTTCTAAAAAATGATGAAACAAAGGAAGAATAGAAAATAATCATCGACTGGGCGGTAGTGGCACACACTTTCAATCCCAGCACTTGGGAGGCTAGCCTGGTCTACAGAGTGAGTTCCAGGACAGCCAGGGCTTACAGAGAAACCCTGTCTCGAAAAAACCAAAAAAAAAAAAAAGAAGGAAAAGAAAAAAGAAAAAAAAAGAAAGAAAATAATCATCTGTATATTGAGAACTTATCACACTGAGCACTAGTCAGACTCTCCAGAGACAAACAGATTTCATGTGTCAACACACACATGATTACTGTGTGACACAAAATGCCAAAAAGAGATTCCAGAATACTACAATCTGTATCCTCTAAAAACACATCAATTTTATGGCAAGAGAGAGTCACATATTCCTTCCATCATCTGTGCCTCTACGGAGCTGAAATATTTACTATTATGATTCAACACAGTGGGTGTATTCTAATTCTACTTTCCCATAAACTCTACTCTTCCATATATTTGCCTATCCACATCCACAAGCTTGTTTCTAGAAACCTGACCATTCCTGAAACAGCATTTATGTAGCATGTGAGACCTTCGTTCCCCACTAATATAAAAGGGCACAAGTTCATCCAATGTAGAAATTAGCTACCAATATATTCACAGAGAATCATTTGCAGTAGATTCTCTTTCAGACCTGAAGGTCTCAGGCCTTGGAAATTTATGTCCTCACAGTGTAAAATCCAGTGAAAATACAATAGGCACAAGGCCGTGCTTGTCCCATTTGACGTCAAAGATCTAAAGGCTCAATTTTGATCATTGGAGAAGAACAAAGATAAATTACAGAAACGAAACACTTTAGATAACATTACCAGAGGTAGAGAACTAAGGTCTCAAAAGGTTTAAATACTAATAGGAATTTCAAAGAAATGTGGAAAGGGCACTAACCTGAGGAACATTTATGAGAGAAGTATTCATTCTTCTTGTTACTCTTCTCTGAAAAATTAAAAGCTAAAATAAATAGAACAATCTTATGAACAATGCTAAACCATAAAAAAAAATATCATAAGAAGGAAAATTATACCAGTAAACTTGACAACATTCCTGCATTCAGGAGAGCATGGAATGGTATATTTAATGTGGCAAGGAAAATTACTACAATCTGTGGCCTTTTTCAAACCTTAGCAGGTACCAGGCACAGATATAAAGTATATGTATACCAGCTGTAAAAAACTACTACTCAGGGATATTACTGGGAATATAAGATTCAAGAACTAGAGTCAGAGGCAAATGGCTAGTGGGTCCCTAAGATGGATGCCTGGCATTAAATAAAGTTCATTAGCTATCACAGTAGAATACAATATCTGAACCTTCTGTCATGTTTCATTTCATTCTACCTGGCAGATACAGTACATGTCTTTTCCATGTGTGTCCTGTTGTCTTGTACACACACAGACTCTACCTGTCAAATATCATATTTTGCTCAAATTGATAAACCATCATCAGGTCCAGTTACAGCCATTTCCATCATCACCTAAGAAGGCTTTACTTTGTTTCTGAGGTAAAATGTATCTTTCCAATTACTCTTCCTTTCAATGAGAAATTCCTTTCTAAGTTGCATGCACATTTTTGTGTGAGAATATTGACCACTAAAATTCACGTGAACCCATTTATAAGGAAAATATTACAATTCAAGGCACACCTGTCTTTAAATGGCATGCCCATGTGCTGAATGTTCTAAGCCAATGGTTCTAGGCCTTTCTAATTCTAAAATCTTTTAATACAGTACAAGGAACTCATGAGTTAATGTATGTACATGTGGCAGGCCCACCTGTAGATTGACAGAGGAGTGGTGTATCAGTTCCTAAGACCATCAGAAATATATGATTTATGGTAGACTTACGTGACCACTGTGAAATGGTCAACTGACCACCGACGACCCACAAACACACAGGATCAAGACCCTCAGGTTTAGAATTGTTCTAGGCAATGCCAAGGCAAAATCATCAAGAGGCAGGCATGGCAGAAACTCTGCTACTCATAAAAGGATATGTATAGAGATGAAGTAAATCATTTCAGGGTATGCTGTTAGGATGATTCACACATTATGTCAGATCCACCAAAATTCTACTACTGTTGGAAACATCTTCCTGAACATGCATAGATCTGTGTTTTGGGGTTGTTCTAGGCAGCTCTCAGGTTCCAAATTATTAATAAATATTCCTCAAGTGACACAGCTCAGTTCTTGGCTGCTATGGATTTCCTTTATGATGATAATCCTCACAATTCCACATGAAATAAAAGTGTGTGACACGGGTCTCCTGTCATATAAACCTATACATACACATTCACCCACAGGCCTACAAATATATGTAAAAATACACACATACACACATACACACACACACACACACACACACACACATATATATTTTATGTATGTCTCAAAAATAAGAAGTTACTCTGTATGTTGAAATAGTATTACTACACAAAGTCATCATGACCACAATAATAGCATATATGCAACTCTTTTTATGTATTATATTGACCTTATGTTTCTCTCATATCAAATGATTTTCCAGACATTAGTCTCTTTGTATGTAACTGCGCAGGTAGTTTAGTGTGATAATAGGAAATAGCAGAGGGATGGCATGGTGTGGAAAGTCATACAAAATAAATGAGAATTGAAGAGGAAAAGGATGATTTTACTAAAAACAAGTGAATATCAACATTTTATGTCTTAAAACTAGGCCAGGCGATGAGCAAGTGCTGACACACTGTCTCCACTAACAACGTCTGAGGACTGCACAGACTGAGCAATGAATTCTACAATTCTCTTAGAAAGACCTATAATAATCTTGCACAGAGGATATTTCAGAATACTGAAAGAAATGGGAAGTTAGACAGTCATCACACAAAGCTCACTTTACCTTGACTTTAAGAAAAAGATGAACAAAAACAGTTTATAAAGGAAAAAAGATCATAGAGCAGTTGCAAGGATATACACTAACACAGAGATTCTCTCTAACGCATACAGAAGGGGAACAAACTGATTTCATTCCAATGATCTAAGACTGTTTGAAGACCCAGAAAGCAAACTATTCAAGGCACGAAATATGTAAAATCAGTGAGAGAAGACACACAACCCTGTCAACATATCCATGAAGGGCCTGGGGCAAAATGTCACATTGGTTCACTAGAAGAGCACTGAAGAACATGAGAGCAGAAGGACTATAACTCAGCATGATCAAGATAGCCAACATTCTAACCCATCATTCCATAATTTGAAGCCAGCCTCCATCATTCAACGGTACTCAGAAGAAAGAAAAGGATGTGCAATGGCTTCACACTAACTCATAACAGTGTTATCACTGCTTACAGAGAGCAAGTAAGACTTAGAACATTTTAATGAATAGAATATGAAAACAAAGATGCATGTTTCCCAAATTATATAATTTGTGAAACATGATTCTTAAATTCAAAAACTACATTCCACAAGAAACCTCCAATCTGATAATACTCTTAATACACTATATAAAAACACAAGAAAATATCCCTTGTCTTTACACATTGCCAGAGAATATGCTGAAACTGGAAGAAGTATCCTTAACTGCTGAGCCACATCCCGAGTTCTTAATTATTCCTTAATTACCAAATATAGAGACTTAACAAACAGTGAGACAGAATTCATGGAGCACCAATGACACTTTCTTACAATGTCAGGGTAACTGCCAGCTCAGAAAAGACAGAGAATTGCGGTGACAGAGCCACATTGAAAAGTTTGGCAGCAAAAGGCCCTGTTTGGGAAAGTCCAATAACTACATAACTCAGGGCTTAAAAGTATGTAAAGCAGTCAATCTGAAGTAGAATGTGTAAAGATATTATAAAGGTTATATAGAAATTAATGAAATAGAATCAAACATAATAAAATCATTCAACACAACAGACTTCTCTCTGTGCAGAGACTAAAGTACTGACAAAAGATTGTTCACTGAAATGAAACTAAAAGCATGTATTAGAACGAGAGATATAAAGGCAACACTGCAATGTATGACAATGACGTCAGTGCTACATTATGCAGTGCTGCGGAAAGTCATGTAAGAATAAATCAGAAGTGAACTAGAAATCATGAGTTCCTCAAAAAAATGAATAAACCAACCTCCTACAGTATATTACTAGAATATGCATCAAACAAGTGATGAGACTGAAGCAGGAAGAATTTCTTCTAACTGTGTCTCAGGACTGGATAGACTTGCATGGAATTCTCCTTTCCTTAGACAAACCTTATACTGATGTCAAAAAGAGAATATTGCCTAAAACACAAAGAAGAGGGACACTAGAAAGTGATCATACAAAGCTGGCTTTTTCTCAATACCCAATGTAGGGGAATTCAAACCATTATATGCAAAGAAAAATCACTGACTAGTTGCCAGGATGTACACAGACACAGAGAAGGCCTCTAAATCCCATGGAAATGGAAGGACAGCTGCATTCACATCAGAACACAAGACTCTTTCAGCACTTACAAACTAATCAATGGAAGACCCCGAAGATGGAGATACAAATGAGAGAGGAAAAATGGTCATGTCAATATATACATAAAAAGCCCTGTAGCAAATTATGACATTTGCTGAATATAAAAGCTCTCAAGAGTGTGAGAAGAGAGGGAACACATGTCAGAATCATAAAAACAAAGAGAACCACAGCTAACTCTGTTAACTTGAATCATTATATAGTACCTCAAGATTGTTTACTGTGTTTTTTTTTTAAAGTGATGTGTATGGATGTTTGCTTGCCTGTAGGTCTGTACATTTCTTTTATTCTTTTCTTTTTTTTTAAGATTTATTTACTTATTTTATGTGAGGTCACTGTAGTTGTCCTTAGACACACTAGAAGAGGGAATCAGATCCCTTTGTACATGGTTGTGAGCCACCATGTGGTTGCTCGGAAATGAACTCAGGAATCTGGAAGAGCAGTCAGTGCTCTTAACTCCTGAGCCGTCTCTCAAGCCCGGTCTTCACATTTCTTACATGCAGTGCCTGCAGTGGCCATAAGAGGAAAATAGATCTTGTAGAACAGGAGTTACAAAAGACTTATGTCACCATGTATGTCTTTGGAACTAATCTTGGAAACTGCAAGAGCAACAGGTGCTCTTAGCTGTTGACACAACTCTACAGCATTTTCCTTACTTATCTATTTTGGAAACTTAAATCAATGAACAGTGAGAGACTTCATGGATTATTGAGGACACTTTCTTATAGTATAACCCTGAGTTCGAGCTTATAACAGACACAGGAACCCAAAAATGAGGTGACAAAGAAACACTGAGACACTTTGGCAACAATAGGTGCCAGTAGATTTGTTTTTTGTTTGTTTGTTTGTTTTTATTGGATATTTATTTATTTACATTTCAGATGCTATCCCCTCTCCCCATCCCCCCATGCCAGAAACCCTGTAACCCACTTCCTCCTCCGTTTTGCTTTTATAACTTTTTTTTTTTGTTTTTTTACACAGGGTTTCTCTGTGTAGCCCTGGCTGTCCTGGAACTCACTCTGCAGAAGAGGCTGGCCTCGAACTCACAAATCCGCCTGCCTCTGCCTCCCAAGTGCTGGGATTAAAGGCGTGCGCCACCACCACCCAGCTGTTTTTATCACAATTTAATCACATGCATGTATTAAGGTCAGTTCTAGGTTGAGGAACTAGCAATGCAATAGATGCAAATAATCAAGAAACAAGCAAGACAATAAACACAAATAATCAAAGAACAAGCAAGGCAGTAAACAGAGTCCCCTGGTCACTCCCATGATCACTATTTCTAAGTGCTTATCAGGATGACCAAAATATCTGAGCCTGCTTCCCTGTCCTAGCCCAAAATCATATTCATGCCTGAATCTTACTTTTTTGTTCTAGCCTAGGATTTAGATTCCTGCCTGAAATTACTTCTTTGTTCTAGCCTAATGTCAGATTCCTGCCTGCAGCTCATTTCCTTGTCCTTGAATAGGTGACACTTGTGCTGCTGAGG